TGGAAAACTGACTGTGAGCCAGCAATGTGCACTCGCAGCCTAGGAGGCCAACCATACCCTGGACTGCATTAAGAGAAGTGTGGCCAGGAGGTTGAGGGAGGTGATTCTCCCCCTCCACTCTGCTCTCATGAGACCCCACCGGGAGTACTGTGTCCAGCTCTGAGACCCCCAACATAAGAAGGACATGGACCTGCTCGAGCAGGTCCAGAGGAAGCCACAAAGATGATGAGGGGGGCTGAAGCACCTCCTTTATGAGGACAAACTGAGACAGTTGGGATTGTTCAGCCTGGAGAAGAGGAGGCTCTGGGGAGACCTTATAGTGGCCTTCGGGTACTTAGAGGGGACCTACAGGAAAGATGGGGAGAGACTCTTTATCAGGATGAGGGGTAATGGTTTTAAATTGAAAGGGGGTAGATTTAGATTATATACAAGGAAGAAATTCTCCACTGTGAGGGTGGTGAGGCACTGGCACAGGTTGCCCAGAGAAGCTGTGGCTGCTCCTTCCCTGGAAGTGTTCAAGGCCAGGTTGGAAGGGGCTTGGAGCAACCTGGTCTAGTGGAAGGTGTCCCTGCCCATGGCAGGGGGGTTGGAACTAGATGATCTTTTAAGGTCCCTTCCAGCCCAAACCATTCAATGATTTTCTAAGAAGCACTTGATTTCCAGATGGTGTTGTAGCTAATTTGGAGTCCTTCTCCTTTGCCTTAGCTATTCTGAAATGTTGTATCTCTGTAGAACTCCCCAGGTGTCAGCGGGTATTATACAGACCATGTTAAGTCAGCTTGATAGTAAAATCAAGACATTCACATCTGCACTGGGTTTTTTTAGGGGTAAAAGCTATACAGATGTATGTTCTCAAACTAACATTGTGCTGCAGATTGAAGCGCATCTTGGAACAACTTTCTTATTCTTGACTTCCTTAATTGTATTTCTGCACCACTGTAGCATTCCAGGTAAGTTATGGTGTTTTCCAGAAGTTCCATGAACCAGTGATGAGAGAGATTATCTTTGGCTTTATTGTTTGTAATTTTTTATTTTAGCAGTAGTTTGACTAAGTGATCTAAGTAAAAAAAAAAAAAAAGCATTAATGAATGTATTGTATGTTAAGAAATCTTGATGATATGTAAAGAAAGGCTCTTCAGAAATGGACACGTAGTTGACCTTAAAAGTTGACAAAAGTATTCTGAAGGCTTTGTATGAACATATTTCTGGTGCAGAGAGACATTGCCTCACCTTCAAAGCTTGAAGCTGATGAACAGGGCTCAGAGCTGTTTCTACAAGTTAGAAAGATAAAAAAGTCTTTCAAGAACTTCCTCATATTTAAATCTTGTTAATGTAAATAGGCCAGTTATAAATGTTGTGCTAATATTTATAAAGATTAATGAATGATCAAATTGTAGTTTGGAAGATACTTTCAGCTTGTGTTTATCTTTTAGAAATAAAGCTGTTGCATGACTTGTGTGCTGGAGACACTGAGGACCCCTGTCTGCATTTATGCGTTATTTTCTTAGATAAACCCATAGTCTCAAAATGTTAAAAAATATTCTTTTATGTTCAGTATTATTTAGATATATAGAAAAAAACATTACCTGAGCCTGCCTCAGAAAATGTTTGTGGCTATAGCCCTGAAATATGTAGCTTCAGGGAAGGAATAAAATATGGTTATACTACAGTTTTAATGTCTTAATAAACTCTTGTACCTTTTTTTTTCCCAGATCATTATTACTTTCTATCAAGTGAGTGCTTAATTGGAAGGCATTATTATAAGCACATAATTTATCATGAAATTAAATTGCTAATATTAAATATTTAATCTTCCATAACTAGTATTGCAATACTGTTCTGGTCTTTTGTGAAACTATTGCCTGACAAAATGCCATAAGATTATGATATTACATAGAGCAGAAAAATGCACGGGAAGAGTTACAAAATTTGGGGAAAAAATTCATCCAGGGTTACCTCATTATTTTCACAGGGTGTTGGAACTGTGTATCTAATAGGGAGTTTGAACATATAGCAGTATGCAATGGTAGAGACTGAATATATGTAAATGTGTTTGTGTCATAGACAAGATTAATATTTATTCTTAGAATGTGTACACCCAGAACTGAACACAAACTCTGTATGTCTTTGTAGCCGTGTGTTAACTGGTTGAAGGCAGACACAAATATTTATTAAATGCATATGTGTACTTGCCTTTGTGAGCCTGTAAGTGCTTACACACAGGCATTTTGTTATATCTTACATGAATTTATATGAGATTTTAAAACCTGTGTTGAAACATAAAAAGGTATTGCTGGTGTTTGGTCTTTGTGATTTGGAGTCTAATTGCAAGCGATTTAATTTAAACATTGCTCGTGTTTTTATAAATGTCTAAAGCACTATCACGATGACTACCATTACGGAATAATTTTTCTCCATTTATCTTAGATTCTACTACAGGCAGTAGAGAGCTGCCTTTACTCAGTCACCTTAGTTGTATGTGTCTTACATGATTGCTGTGCATAAAGGAAAGAAGTACAGTAGAAAAGGCAGAATGTAAGAAGAAACAGTAGAGGTTTGCAGAAGAGAAATGTAACTCCATTTAATTTCCAGAAAATAGGACATGGAGAGTGAAACCCTCTCACCAGGCTACCATTTGGAAGTCCGTGTTTTTATGAGGTTAGGGAGTTATTGAAAACCTGTGATAATTTGCTTATGATAAACTTGAATAATCAGAGTTAAGAATATCAGAAGCGCAGTTTGGTCTTCAAGTATTACCATAGACCACTGATTAATTTTTATTCTGTATTTTTTCAGAGTTGTATCTGTGAATGAAATAATATATTCAAAAAGGATTCGTCCTTATAACCTTGTGGTTTTTCCCCCCCCCATAGTCATTAAGGAAGTCCTGCTGTTTTTTCTCACTTATGAAAATGTACACTATAAAATGTGTATAAAAATGGCCTTTTTACACCATAAAACTTTGGAGACAAGAGTATATCTAAAAACAGATCAAAAAATAAAATATTAGAGTTCTGTTACAGGCTCTATTCCACTCCGTGTGCGCGCCGCCCCCCCCCCCCACCCCCCCCACCCCAACTCTTATATAGTTTCGTTTATTTCACAGGAATTGTTCACAGAATAATATATTTTTCCATCTAGAGATATATATTGGGTAACTAACACCTATTAGAATTAAACATTTAGAGATGTGAGTAATTTAATACAGATTAATATTCTGTAATGATCTCAAGAAGACAGATTATGTTTTGGATGGAGAATTTACAGTGAGGACTGAAGTGACAAATGCTCAAAGTCTCTTGGAACAGGTGAATCAAGTCTAGTGATAGGTCTGAAATAAATGTGTTTTGCACGATCAGTTCCACTTCTGAGTAATTTACTGTTTTATTCAGCTGTTCCTGTGTGTTTACCTGGGATTAAATACGGGTAACTTTAACCAGAGCAGAACTAGTGTAAAAAACAATTGGCAAATCAAAATATGTCGTTAGTGTTCTAAAAATGTTGTGAGTTAATAACAACAGAATTATCTCCAGCTCCAAACCATTTCATATGCTAGTAAATATGACTAGGTTTTTATGCATGCATGTGCAGCATTACACTATCACTGTTGCTTTATAAATAAGAATCGTTGTTAACATTTTTGAACTATACGTGGTTCACAATGATCAGTTGCATACAAGGCATTGTTGAATTGGAACAGATTAAAAATTATGTAAAATATATCCCATGTAACATTTTGCTTCTGTAGAATTATGCTTACTTTTCTAAAAGGGAAGACAGCTGCAGTGTTTTATTCAGTCGTTGTGGTTAAAGGAAATCTTTTGTGAACAGAGATGATATCAAACCTCTACTTCCATGTTCATCCTCTAAACTGTGGTACACCTTTCCCTGTGACATGAGAGTCCTGCCAGAAAAATACCATCATGTGCTGCAGATACCTGCAGCATCCCACGTGTGTGCCGGTGATACGGTTCCAGCCCGGCAGACCACGGAGCAGCAGAGACCTGTATGCCTTCCATGAGCAGCGTCACCAGTTTGGGCCTCCCTCCTCTGCTCAGTCAGTCTTCTCCCTGAAATTACATCAGCTTAATGTCTTTGAAACTGTGACCCCTCTCTAAATTTGTTTGACATTTACCAAAAGAGTAAAAAATTAGTAAGAGGTGAATGGCCGTGAGACCACTGCATAAGCCTTGTTTCTTTAAGAAACCTGGAAAATCAACAAAACCCACGATGCTACAGATGAAATGTTTTGGTGAGGTAATAATATAAAATTTATTTCAGTTAGGCTGTTAAGAATGCTTTAATTAATGTTTTTGTTTGTTGTTTTTATGACCAGGTCTTGCACACTCAGTCATATATTTTTTGTGTATTGCAAATAAGCATTAAAATAACCTTATCAGGTTTACATCACAGTATATTTTAAAACCATTTCTTGTAAGTGTATTAAGTGAGTTCCTGAAAATGTGCATAATTTTGGATACCACAGTGTTCAATAGTGAGGTGACTGGGGAGGTGGTCTGTTTGCCGGCATCCCTTCCAAACTGCTATATTACCCTGAAAGTAATACTTCTTGCAGTGATAAAACAGCATTGGCAATTTTGATTAGGAAATTCTGTGATATTCCCAGAAATGCTGCTGTTTAGAGATACAGTGCCGAATGTTAGGGTAATTTAAAGTAAGTGCAAATACCACTAAGTAGCTGGAACTGCACAGAATGTAAATCATTGAAGAATGTGTCCTGTTATGATGTCTCAGTGTGGAACAAGAGCTTGCGTGAAGGTATATATTTGAATTACTTTAAACTGTTGATTTTAAATAATGCCTACTCTTTATGTTAATTAAGGTAAGAAATTGTGTTTTGTAATATTTTGCATAAAATATATTCTACATTAAAAGCACCAGATTCACTGTTCTAAATGAGGATACCACTTATGTATTGTTTCATATGTAAATATGAAAGTACATTGAAAAATATTCCCTTTTGTTTTTATCTGTGTAAGCCTCAGACGGTTTGGACCCTGGATGCCATGGGTGTCAGACCTGGAGGTTCCCCAAGGCAGAAACTCTTAAAGGATTCCTTAGCAGCAAAAGAACTTCAGACCATGGAGAAACACCTAGCTGGTACGTATGGTAGCAAGGAATCATAAAATGCCTACCAGTACTCACCCAGCTAGCTCTGCCAGTATTTTAGACAAAGAAAAAAGTGATCTATCTCACGTGCTGATGAAAACAGATAAAAACTTTAAACTTCAGTTTTTCTTCATTGAAGAGAAACAGCACAATTATTGTTGTGTTTGTAATTGTAATGAACTTTTGCTGTAATTACAGTAAATACAGTAATTAAACTCTGTTAAATATACTGCAGTCTGACAGCTTAATAACACACCATTTTTTTGTTTGTTTTCACATTTCATCAAGACTTATGCAATAAGGAGGTACTGATGCTTCACCTACAGTTAAGTAGTCTTTAGAAAAGCCTGCAGTGGGCCTTTAGCTTGAAAACATTGCTTTGCAGGAAAATCCCACCTTGTTCATGACATTTCTGGCTAAGTGAAGTCTGTTAACTTGTGTGTATTGGAATATCTGCAATATCTTTGATGGTGGAACCATTTCTAAAAGGTCAAACAAAAACCCACATTTTTTTCAGTGAAAATATGTTTCAGAGCTCTATAAAAATTAATGGTGGGTATCCTAGGATATAGTTTGCAATTTGTTGTTCTTTGTAATCATTATTTTCTTATCTTCAGCTTTAGTTTTAAGGTATGACATAGACCTATAGCATGGTAGTCCTATATTATGAATGCTATTTGTCATACAGTGAAAGCTATGCTTCATAGACCAACTCTATGAAAAGCAATGCAGAATGAACATAAAGTCTGTGTATGTTACATGGAGGGAGAAACAAAATTTATCTGACCCTTCTTTCAAGTAATTCAGAGAGCGAGGCAGAGAACTTACCCCTTTCAGTGTGATTTTTCTAAAAGATTTTGGACATTTATCATATGAAAAACATTGTTGTGAAAGGCTTAGGATCTGTATCCTCTTCAGAAAGGGGTACAGCTGTTGTACTTTTGTGTAGGGACTGCTGCTGCTGAAGTCAAGGCAGAAGGCAAAGCTATGAGCACAGCGAGGGAAGCACTTTAGAAGAAGTTTTTGCTTGGAATGGAACAAGAACTAAAAATTATGATACCTAAAAGTGAAGAAATTTTAGACAGTTTCTGCTGCTGACAACAGAGATACTGTCGTTCAATTTTTCTTAACATGTTCAAGTCACTGTAGCCAAAAGAGATGTATCCACTGCCAAACTAGACTGAAAATCCGTGAGCCCTCTCTCCAAGCTGAAACTTCTGGGAAATCTAGTGGGAAGCAGGAGACCAACGGGCTGAGCTGAGGTCGTCAGGTTTCTGTGACACAGCAGGGATCTGAGTACCCCATGGGCCTCTGCCACTGAGGTGGCGCTTGCCTCCCCCTGTGTTGCTGCAGTTGTCACTCAGGAGGGGTCTGGTGAAGATCTGCCTCCTTGGATTTATGTCCTAACTAGTCACACTTCCATGGCTGTGCAAGCTGTTTTTGTATGCAGTATGCTCTGAAGCATGCAGTTCCTTTAGATGTGCCTTGACGAAGCTGACAGTAATAAGTACCATATTCAATAGAATATGGAATTTTAAATACTTAATTGACCGTAAACTAACTGGCTACATTCACTTAGTCCCTGAGATTCAGTCTGCTGCCTACAGGGTCTTCTCTCTCACATCAATGCTGCTGTTGTCACTTGGTTTTGGGCCCACTATTTCAGTAACACTGTAATATGGTGTTCAGTTGTTCTACCATTCAGTAATTTTTGTCTGCCTGAGAAATTCACAAGAAAACAGCCCAGTTATTAGACATTGGACTCTTGTATTCCTAAGAATTCATGTCCTATTTAAACATCAGTGCTGCCTGAGACAATTATTCACTCACAGACAAGCATAACATAATTTCCATGGAGAATTAGCTCAGGAGAGCACAGATAATAATGCTGTGTTTATGTGTAGCCTTATTTATCTCATACATTTGCAAAAGTGTTCAGGTGTCTCTGATATCAGCAAGTCTACATGTTTTAGTTCTCTTACCAAGTTCACTGGAACCTATTAATGCTACCCAATACTAGGCAGTGATTTAGTTGCCTGAATTATGACTTGGCTTACCCATGTAATGATGAAATGCGGTGTCCTGTCTCAGATGTACCTTCTTAAGGAGCCTGGCTTTCTCTTATAGACTGTGTGCTGGATAAAACTCAGTACTTTGATATTCCAAAGCAGCATTTTTACAAAAAAAAAGACATTGAAGCAGTTAGTTTTCTTTTCCTTCTCTACTTATGGCTCAGTAATACTTCTGTCTAAGATCCAGTCTCTTATGTTACTGTAGCTGCTTTATATCATATACAAGCAGAGAGTATTTTTTTTTTTTTTTGGTAGCTCATTCTGATATCTTGCCCATTTGTTTTGTTACACTGATTTTGGGGTCATTGGATACTTCTGGAATATGTTTTATCACAAGAAGAGCTGTTAAATATATAAACAGTTTGTAAGCACATTATGAACCATTTCTTTATTTTGGTATTTCTGATATAGAAGTAAAATGCCTTTGTCTTGTTCTGTTGCCTGCATTTTATTTTCCTTTAAATTACATTGACAAGGGATTTAAAAAATCCTAAATCATAGTTCAATCGTGGTATTTACTATGGATCAGATAATACTGTAAAGCTGAAGATGTGTGATGATTTTTTTTTTTTTCCTTTCTGATTGAAAAGCTGATGCTGAAGCAAAAGCAAACAGGATGTGTGCTAAATAAAACTGAATAATTACACTATGGAAACATGTTAATTATATGTGGTGAAATGATTAGAATAATTGGTTTATCTGCAGGCTTGATTACTATATGAGATTAGAGAAACATGAGCCAGAATAAAATGTTTATTTAACTCTTATTAAATCATTCAATATTCAGATAATTTCTTAGCATACTGAGTCATCACGGGGAAGTTAGAGGTCTGTAATTTTGCAAAGACAGGATAAGATGAATTTTTAAAAGGACATATTCCTCATTTGGTTTAAATTGGGTGGCCCACATCATCATTTATTGGCCCCTGAATTTTTGGCAGGCATCTTAAAAGTTCCAAAGTGATGTGTATTGATTTTTTTAAAAAGTATAATGAAAGGCTACTTCAAGACATAATTATTTCAAAATGGAAATAATTAATTTTATGAGGTCAGCAAGGTAGCAATTAGAAATAACTGTATGCTAGAAACAATAACTATGTTTTGAAATTTGCTGACAACAAAACATTTAATCTTTAAAGAGTTGGGAGACACTTTTATCTGAGGCTTTCACAACTATTTCAGTTTTACCACCTTTTCTAGTAATAACATTTGAAATGTGTAGAATATCTTGTATTAGATTATTAGCATGAAATTAACATATCTTATTTTCCTGTTTTCAAGGTGTTATTATAAAATAAGTTAATGTTAAAGGTGACACATCTTTAATTATTTTACATACAGCATTAGTTTTATATCGACTGGTAAGCACAAGTAAAAGAAAATCTGGTTTTCCAATATGCAGTTCAGAATCTGTTTATTTTTGGACTTTTAGAACCTGGAATTATTGTTATCAAAATAAGAATGAAATGCTTATTTCATATAATTAATAGGTGTTTAAATCACCTTTGCTGATTTACAGCTTCTGGAACTGTGACTTATACAGTTTATGGGAAATGGCATTGCTTTTCTAAAGATAACCAACTGTCCCTATCAAAACCAAGTTACAGTAGAGGACATGAAAACTTATAAAAATTCTGTAAAATAAAATAAACTTGAGTAAGCTTTTCCTTAAGCTTGACATCTTTGATTGCAAGGACTTTCAGTATCTTAGCAATGCCAACCTAAATTCCAACTACCCTCACCTAACTTTGTTGAATGTATCTAATTTTAATTCATTAGAAGCATTAGTATGATTTAAGTGAATTCAGAACACCCTTTTTGTCACTACCCCTGATGTGGTCTGTTTTTAAATAGGATCTTACTCCTTATGGCTGTGTGAGGACACATCAAATGGTGGCCGCCTTTTCTCCATGGATTCTAGATGTTGGTGAACCTGTCACCTGCTGTGGCCTGCTAGGCCAGAGCACAAAATTCAGATTCAAACAGGATCACATATCCAAATGTGCCAGAGTTCCAGGGTGATTCCCCCCAGAATTTTGGTTGGGTAATAATCAGAGAGACCTGAAGCAAAAGTCTCTCCTTGAACCAGTTTTGGATTGCCCTTCATTGCAGCTGAGGATGGCAAGTTTAGCTCACTGCTCCATCTTGGTTTGATACTAATGAGAAACTGTGCAAAAGCCATAGAGAGATAACTCTGAAGAAATGAGTGGGATTTTCATAGGTTGTACTGACATTAGATGAAGCGGTAATGTTTTGTTTCTGTGGTATAGCTGTGTTTGCAGTAAATAAAATGTAAATAAACTTTGAGGAAACGTTTATCAAACTTTTGAACTGTTAATTCTGATGCCTTATATTTTAAGGGTGAATAGCTTCTCTGCACAGCTTCAGGTTGTCACTTACATTGGAGAAAATAAAGAGTTTTAAACTAGAGAGAAACAGAAAGTGAGTGAGTTTCTTATTTTTTTTGTTTGTGTTTGTTTGCACAGATATTGAGAAGGACCTAGCACTATGGGAAGAAGCAAGGCTCTCAAGAAGCCCTAGTATCCAACATCATAGTTTAGTTACATCTGACCACCAAGGCAGTCTTCAAGCTACACAAGGCCAAAACCCTAGGCCTCAGGTGTCAACTCAGATGGGGAAGAACATTCAGCTCCAAGGAAACAAATCACCACTGCTGCCCACTAACAGCAGAACACAGGTCTCCAGTGTTGCAAACAGTAGACCTCCAACGCCCAGTACACAAACCAACAGGCCACCAACTCCATCAACTCCAGGGAGCAGACCTGTGACCCCAAATAGCTTGCTGTCACGGCCTCTTACCCCTAGCAACCAAGGAAATAGGGAAGGCATCATTAGTATGCAAAGAAGCAGATCTTTGACATCTAAGAGCCAAATGGGGAGGACCCTCAGCGCTGCTTCAGGGCTCTCTGTGCAAATGAGTGGAGACATTGTTGGAACTGTCACTACTCAGAGAAGCAGTTTATCAGAAGTAAGATTTTCAATTTAATGTTTTTGCTATGTTTAAGAGCTGCTATAACATGAAGACTAGATTGCTTTTTATGTTGAAGTAACATGTATACCTAATGTAACTTACTACTCTGAAAAGAACTTGAAATATAATGATGAGAAAATTAGCAAGGAAATACTGCTCAGCTTTGAGAGGTACTGATTAGAGAATGTCAGGATCATTAGAAATCATTGAAACACTTGTGCCCCCCAAATTTTCCTTGAGCTCTGTAGGGTTTTGCCTGCATAATGCATAGCAGTTGTATTAGCCTTACAGTTTCTAAGAGGTGTGTACCTCTGGAATATTAAACACAACTTTATCTTATCTTTATGATTCCAGGGTATTTCCCTCTTGCTGCACTGGCAATGCATAATATTTCCTTGGTCTACTTTTTCTTTCATTTTTGGACACATTGGAATGATTAGTTAGGCATCGCTGAATGAACAAATTCTCCAAAATGCAAAACTTAACTGGAATGAGTAAATGTCCAACATCACTGAATCATTGTCTAGTACTATATGCATGTTAACCAGGCTGATTCAGAGCATAATAACTTCCTGTTCCATATTAATGGCTTTTACAGGATTGGCATTTGTTTAAAACAAAACAAAACATTAGAGTACCTTGTAAATTTTGAGTGGGATTCTCCTCTGCTAATCTTAGCTGCCTTAAAGATAACTTTAGTGTGTAGGCAGTGGAAATAAAAGCACCTGTGAAAGAATATCCCTGCTGTCTATCTCAGATACATGCCTTACAAAGGTGAGTTTTTTCTCAGGAAATGCTAGTCCTTATATACTGATTTGAGAAGGACCTGCATGTCTAGATTGCTGATTTTTTAATAGTGGAATAAGTTGGTTCCCACCATTTATTACTAATCTCTTTGTAATCCATTTGTCAAAGCCTGGAGAGCTTTTTTCCAAGACCGAAAAATAATATCATACCTTTAGATAACTGTTTCTCAGAGGTGAGATTTGTTTTAAAAATCTATTGGGTATGACACTTGACACAGTGTATTATCAGTCTAATGACTTCTTAAAAAAATTTTAAAATGTTGATTATAATATTACTGCTTAGAGATGCCTGTAAGAAAATTAGTGATTTCATACTTAGTTTAATGTTGCAATTAAGTATATGTCCTCCATTATTTATTATGAAAGAAAGGAAATGAGGCACAGATAACTCTGAAACTACAGAATTTGGTGAGGAAATCTTACTTAACTTTGGTGGTGGAAAAAAATCCTCATTTTGGTGTTTGAATCACAGCGCACTAATCCTATCACTCAAGCTACTTCTTCACCTTGAATTGGATATCCAACTTAAAAACACGAGGACTGAAGGTGACTACAGTTCTGTTGAAAGTGTCTTCCCTGACAGTTGGTATATATTCAAACCAGAAGTTTTCAGTGGAATATAATTGTAACTTTTTTTTTTTTTAAAAAAAAAAAAAACAAACAAACAAACCCATTTGTCTCCTGTTTTGAGGAGTGGGTGTGTTCGTGTGTTGAAATTTTCTCACACACCAGAAAAATTAGAATTGAAATTAATTTCTAAGCAAAAATGTTCAGAAGAAATGAAGGGTTCCATTGTTTCCCATTAAATTCTACACTCCTCTTTTTCTTTCTTTTTAAGCAGTTCTGTTCTTAACTGATACATAGTCATGTGACAACAACTAGAATTATTGTATACACTTCTGAAAGAGCCATGTAATGAGCACTGCATCTCCACCAAGGGACATCCAGTCTGTCAATCACTTCTGATCTTTCCTGTAATAAAGCAGGCAATTAAAAATGCTTTCTTTGACAGTCTTTCTGTAGTTATAGTAGTAATAACTGTGAGTCCTATTTAATTTGCTGTTACTTGTTACTTCTGTTTGCCAAATCCCAAGCTTTGCTGATAGCTCTTAAAATAAGTGTCCTGTTATACTTTTAATATATGTATATCTTTGTCTCAAGAACTTTAAGAAATAAGCAATATTATTACCCTGGTTTACAGTTAGAATAGCATGTCCAGTTTCATCCAGAAAGCCCACTGTAAAGCTAGTGTTAAATCTCATCATTTCTATGCAGGATCTTATCCTCTGTTATAATCCCTTCTAGAAGTGACAAATTCTTTTCATTCTCTTTGCTTACTGGGTACAATAGTACGTTGGCTCTTAGTGACCCAGCTCAAACCCTATTTATCCTTTCCTGACATGCACAAGTGACCTTTGACTTATTGGAAACTTGTCTGGGGACTAGCTCTGCTTCCAAGGGGAAAACTGCTAATATGACATGTTCATACTGAAGACCTTCCTCTGCCAAGCTGTAAAGGCCCTTGGATGTCAGAAAGTAACTGATGGAGGTCTGGCCAGCCTGCTGCTCACATTCCTATCTTTTGATTGTTATACTAGAAGCTTTGGGAACTTTTTTAAGCGATCTTTGCCCACTGAAGTTCCTGGTCATTATCGAGAAGTGGGTTTAGACAGAACATACCCAGGGACTATCTCTGTTCAGTGACATTTTTTGCCATGTTAGAGGTACCCCCCTACTTGTGGCCATGTGATTTCATTCTCTTGTGTCGCAGCTTCTCTCTGACCATGGAGACAAATTTTTAAAAGTCAAAGGTGGACTGGGGTAGGAGAAAAAAACAAAGTTCCGTCTGTCTTTGTGCTTTTACAGATCACAAACATATCGTGTAACCTCACATCGAGGCAGATATGCAAATTACTTTGCAACTTTCATTGTAGGTTTTGTATGCTCTTCCTGTATAAAAACAGCAAAATAAAAGAAGGGAAATTGCCTTTATATTTCTTAGCCTTATGGTGTGAACTGGGAATTTCCACTAGATGTGAATACACTGTGGTTATATTGCCGATACTATAGAAGATACTACGATAAGATTTTGCAAATAATTCTGCTTCCTTACTCTTAGGTGGTATTAATGGAATTAGCCAGTACAAAGTTGATACGTATTTGATGAGAATAAGTCAGCTGAAAAGAATGTGATTACTGGCTACCAGGAGCATGTTTTACCATAATGAGCTTAAATTAAAGAATTTGGAATCTGCATGGGTTTACACTGTGTGTTGTTACTTGTTCACTTAGAAATTTTAACATGTCTCTCAATGGCTTATGTATGCTTCTTAGTTTGTAATGTGTTTCAGAGTAACATAACAAGTCTAAAATACAGAAATATTACTGAGAAATACAATTCAGAGTTGTTCTTAAATCTTAGTAAAGTTCATACTGTAGCTCAGGGTGGTTTAATCTTGTTATAACACAAATCTTAAATAATTTGGCAAGTACTTAACATATCAGCTGTTAAGAATGTTTTGGGGTTTTTTAATGCTCAAGACTATAAGATCTGAGATTTTGTGGATGAGTTTCTGTCTCTTGGCACACATAATATTACAAAGTTCTAACAGGTGTGTTTTATTATCAGCTCTGTTCAAGGCTGAATTGAATTATAGTAAAGAAATGCTACCTAGAGAAATAGTTTTATTATCTCTATAAAATTAATAAATCAGGGTTCCAAATCTTTTGGCAGAGCTACTTTTATGCACTTACCTTATCCTTTGGTGTTTTGTATAAATTGACAAAGGAATGTTGAATCCTGCTTATCTCTTTAGGATGGATTCCATTAAAGTGACACAATTCTGTGATAGATATCAATAGCTGTGGAGATGAAAATACTACCGACTCCCTTGTTTGCCATTTCATTTTATGAACACTTGGAATTTTACAATCACTTTATCCAGATAGTTTAAAGTAGTATTCAGTAATCTTTATTGGTCTGTCATCGTTAACAACAGGAAATTTCAGCTTATTTGAATATAGCATTGATTAGCACAAGTTTTCCTCTTCCTTAATGGAGTGTAGAGCCTAACTTGATGTGATGAGGACTCTTTTTGGTCAGATACTTCCATTCTGCTCTCCTGCCTGGCTCAGTTCTTTGCTCTGTGTTTTTGGAAGGTTAAGAAGTATGCTGATCAGCGTGAGATCTCAATCCTACTGCAAGAATCTTGTTGTGTGAACTAAAACACTTGCCCAGTTCAGTGCTGCAGTCAGCAGCCTTCTCGAACGCTGAGCACATTTGAAATGGCAACACATGTATAAGCCCTGGAGCTCCTGCCTGAGCCTAGTGTTGGGCCATTGCATCAGTATTTGTGGATTTTTTAGCAGACTACTAACAGAATTAATAATTTACTCCCAGCGAGTTAGATCTTGATTGAACAGCCTTCATCTCCAAGAGCTGATTTAAACAAGCCTGGTGGTCTGTTTTTAAACCAGATAGCCTAACAGTAAAAATTATGCTGTAGTGCCGTGCAATACAGTTTAAGTTTGAATATATAGATTCTGTTTTTCAGCTGGTATAAAAGATGACAGGGCTATTGCCCACCTTCTTTTTTCAGGTTCTTATAAAAATCTGGCCAGTAGTTTTATGATACCTGGCCAATGTTTAAGTACTCTTTTAGAGACTAGACTTGCATGTTTGTACTGCTTTTCAAAATAAAACTATGCATTCTAGTCTCATCTCTCATCTTGAATATTGCAAAGGAACCTGTCAAAAGTATTTTATATGTCTGTGTATGTACGTGCTCACATACATATGTGTGTGTGTATGGAAAAATATTTTTATATACCTACATATATACAATATATAAAAAAGAGGGCAACTGTTAAACATTTTTAAAACCATATATTCAGCTGCATATGGATTTTTAACTGTGTAAAACATTTATATTTTGGTGCTTAGAGTTTTATGGTATCTCAGAGACAAAAGTTTCCATATAATTTTTCTTTCCTAGGCTTTCTCCTTCTCCAATAAAACCATAGGTTCTAAATCAAGTTTCAGGTTCTTGTTGTAACTAGATTGGAGACAGTGAAAGTTCTGACAAATCAAAGCCTCACTTCAGCAAATCATGCATGACATGTCTAGGCATAGTCCAAAAACTGCAGGGACAGATGGAACATCTGCATTAAGATTTCGTTCTGTGTCACTACATTTCTAAGAATATGTATATATCTGTAGCTACAGCAGATAGCTAGTTAAAGAGACTTTTTTTTTTTTTTTTTTTTTCCCCAGAATAGGCAAATACATAAGAATTAAATAAAAAAATTTCTAAGGAGCCTGCATATCATCTACATTCTGGTTTTATTTCACAGCAAGAATTTTTTTTTTTTTATGAAAGCCTTTCTCCTTGCTAGTTAATTGAGGCTAGAGTGTTTGCTACAACCTGCATTTATATAGAACCGTTCTCTGTCATTTTATCTAAAATAGATCTGTTTGTGGCAGGATGAATTCTTACAACAGCTTCAGCTTGCTCATCAGCCTTGGATATTGCCGAGTGACACAGAGAGTGAAGGAGTGGAAGCTGACCAAGACAAATGTAAGTATATTTGTTAGGACGAGATAGTATGTCAAAACCCCTCAAACTTTTAACTTCTCTTTTTCATATCTTCAAATCCTGTGAAGATGTCATGCCTGCTCACAGAACCTTTTCTTATAAGTACCAATTACTCATTTATTTTAGGGCTGAACTTTATGGTATTATTTTACATAAGCTTTCCTACAGTCACTGAACAATGACAAAATGATTCACTGACAACAGTTTACTTAGATAAGTGAAACAATTTGTCCTACTGCATTAAAGAAGCTGTTCCAGAGAAGCAGCTTGAAGTTGAAATAGATACTCTGTTTAGTAAATCTGTACTGACCAGCAGAAAAACCCACAAAAAACCCCAATAGCTCTGAAAAGTAGAGCCTTCCTCCTCAGGCCTGTGACTCCATTACCTCTACTTTGCCTGTGCTCTTTTGAATTCCTCTGTATGAAAAAAAAGTTCTTAATCACACAAGTAATCCTTAATATCCTACACTCTTTGAAGCAGTTATCTAATCATGAAAGAAAAGGTCAGCAGGATCATAACCTAAATGACAGAACAAGTAACAAGTAGTAACGTGCTATAAATTGCAATAGATTCAAACTGTAGCAAGTTCCATCTGCCTACAAGGTACCTGTAAATAATCTTGCTGAAAATATTAAATGGTTTGCATTTTCTTTTTTAATTCACAGTAGTTTTGTGATCTGCAAGGGTGAATATGCAAACTATTTCCTAACATATTTTAGGTGATATACTTGAAAAGAACAGATAATTTATTCAGCATGTTTAAAAAACTTCATGCATTCTGCTAAAACTACTTTAAACATGCAGAGTTAAGATAAGAAAAAGTCGATTTCTTCAGAGAATGGAACAGCCGAGTACAGGATTAATGATTAATAATAGTCATGCCAAATAAACTATATCTTTTTAAATTGCGTCACTTAAAAAAATTGAAAGTTTTCTATTCTGATACCTGTTTCACAAATCCATACATAGCCTATGGTTCGACTATGAAATTTCAATTTACATAGTGGAATACTGAAGAACATGTGCCAGATTTCTTAACATTAGTATAGTGTTAAAATGAAGTTCTGTGTGTCCCGCTAATTTTAGTCCAGTTTGACTTGTACCTGAACCTCTCACTTATCTTTGGGCTGAAGCTCACCTTAGGTGGCCAAAGGATGAGCCTCGTACCTGCCTCTTCTGTGCATGTGAATTTTCCTCTGTATTTTTTGTAATGGATTTACAATCCCACAAACATTGGTAGGACTTGCGGTGCACACACAGACTGGTGCTAATTATGTGATGAGGACAGTGGTGCTTCAGGACATACCAGATGCACAGCATGATTCTCTCATAGCTACTGTACCTGAATAGCATGGGTCTGGGGACTTCTAAGCATCCAAGATCCTGTGCTATAAAAGTCCAAGAATCCTGGTAGATCATTGTCACTGCCCAGTGTGACAGAGTGGTAAGTTATAGATAAAAGTTTCAGTCCCACCACCAGATCAGTAGATAGGATTGTAGCCTAACTAGTAACAATTGTTTTTCTTGGATCTGATGGCACTGAGAAAAGAGAAGGGAAAGAAGGTGGCTGTTAGCTATAGATTCTGACCAAAAGTTAAATGTCTCTTAAACACTGACAGGGTTGGGGCATTGGCCATCTCTCTAGGAAACCTGTTCCAGTGCTTGACCACCCTCTCAGTAAACAAATACTTCCTAATGTCCAGTCTAAACCTCCCCTGGTGCAGCTTTGAACCATTCCCACGAGTCCTATCACTGGCTACCAGGGAGAAGAGATCTGCACCTCCGTCTCTGCTTCCCCTCCTCAGGAAGCTGTAGAGAGCAAGGAGGTCACCCCTCAGCCTCCTTCTCTCCAAACTAGACACACCCAAACTCCTCAGCTGCTCCTTACAGGAAATGCCTTCCAGCCCTTTCAGCAGCTTTGTTGTCCTCCTCTGAATGCATTCAAGGACCTTGACATCCTTCTTAAATTATGGGGGCCAGAACTGCACACAGTATTCAAGGTTAGGCTGCACCAATGCTGAATAAAACAGGATAAACACTTCTTTTGACCAGCTGGTTATACTGCGTTTAATGCACCCCAGGCTGCGGTGTGCCCTCTTGGCTGACAGGGCACACTGCTGACTCTTAATCGAGCCTGCTGTCAACCAGCACCCCCAGATTCTTTTCTGCAGGGCTGCTCTTCAGCCACTGCTCTCCCAATTTAGACTTGTGCCCAGCATTACTCTGTCCTAGGTGCAGGATCCGGCATTTGGACTTGTCAAATTTCATCCTGTTAATCATTGTCCAATGCTTCAGTCTATCTTGATCCCTCTGCAAGGCCTCTTGTCCCTCAAGAGAGTCAACAGCACCTCTCACTTTGGTATCATCAGCAAACTTGCCAATTCAACTCCTGCATCCAGGTCATTGACAAACATATTGAACAGAAGTGGCCCTAGAATTGAACCTTGAGGAACTGGTGGTGACTGGTCACCAGCTGGATGTGGCCCCATTCACTACAACACTCTGAGTTCTGCCCTTCAGCCTGTTCTTCACCCAATGCACTCAATGCTCATCACATAGTTGGACAACTTATCCAGAAGGACGCTGTGAGGGATAGTATCAAAAGTCTTAACTAAAATCCAGAAAAAAACTACATCTGCCGCCTTCCCTTTATCCACTAGGCAGGTGACCTTCGCATAGCAGGATATAAAA